GGGGGGGGGGGGGGGTGCAATCTTTTTAAATTTTTTTTCTGCCCAGATCTAATTCCAGACAGACAGCTCTCAATTCTTGCAAATGAAACAGATTGCGGGGCTCATTCCGTCTTTTCTGTTTTGGTGTGTTTCTAAGCCTTTTATTGCAACCTGTCTTTTTAATGCACTTTTATTTGGGAGGCAGACAAATCAAGGCGAAGATTCCCTGAAGCCAAGTTCAACTCTGAGCATCTCATGGTGACATCTATGTAGGGGGTTTTTTGGCAACAAAGTGGAAATGGTTTCCTTTTGCCCTTTTGGGATATTTTAAAAGTTTCCTAGTCTAAGTTGGAAGGTGTGGATACTTTTGGGTGGTGTCTCATCCAAGTACTAACAGCTGAACAGGAGTGGCTCTTGTTCAACTTCTGGACATCAGCCCAAGTCGCTAAGAGCTGCCGTGGGAACAGATGTTCATTTTCCTTCTATCCTGTTCTTTTTCCTTTCCTCATCTTGTCTTCCACCCTTTAAACCATTAAAGCACCTTTTATTTCAATGGTGACTTGCATTAATCCATCCTTCTTCTATTCCATGTTTATTTTAATACATTATTTTAAAAATGGCCTCCTTGCAGCTAAGCTTAAAAAATAAGGTTGCTTGCAAGTCCAGGCCAACTTCTGTCAAGTCAAATACAGTTTGGAAAGTGGTTTCTTCCCGGAAGCTTTTTTTTTTTTTTAAATCTTCCCTGTTTAACCTCCAGTGGTGAGATTTCCCATCCAAGCACTAACTAATTAGGCCAGGCCCTTCAAGATCAACTAGAGGCTGCCATTAATCTGGGCAGGTGCTGGGTAAAGCAAACTCTCCTTCAAGCTGAGCTGGTGACGACCGCTTTTGACCACTCCATGTTGTTTTCTGGATAACAGCATTAAAGCAGCTTGCCGTTGCCCAGGATGTTTTATTAAATGGATTACCTGGTGGTCCCTCATCCAAGTACTAATCTGATCTGATTCTGCTTTGCTCCTTTTTAGGTAACCAAGGTCATCAGATGTTGCCTTCTACTCTGGCAACTCTCTAGAGCAGCGTTTCTCAATCTTTGCAACTCTAAGATGTGTGGACTTCAACTCCCAGAATTCCCCAGCCAGCAACTCTCAATTCTGGGAGTTGAAGTCCACCCATCTGAAAGTTGCCAAGGTTGAGAAACACTGACTTAGATTATCAGATGTTCTCCATACCCACTCAGTAACTCCTTAGCTGTGTTAGCACAATGTACAACTCCGTGGTTTGTTTAACCACAGGCGACTGAGTTAAACCCAGTTAGCCGGCTTTAAGCAAACAGAACCCTCACCTAATTTCACCAACTATGTTCGCACCAGTGAGCCCTAAAGTAACCAAACACTGTTTAGTTTAGGGTTTCGCCTTCAGCTGACATTTCCTAAAACTCACACCCAACTTGCGCCATTCCAAACATCGTTTCCTGGTTCTACAACCTGGACTGTTCACAATTCAAGATGTTTTATAGAAGGTGGACCTGTAAGTGAACGGCGTCTACAGCGCATCTTTGAAAAAGTGAAAGAAAAAGAGGTGAATCAACGTTTTAGACCAAAGAAAGTTGAAGTTGCAGATCCACCTTCATCACATTCCTGCGGGATCCTTACTATCCACTGCACGTAACATTAAAGCATGCTATAAATTGGGTTGCACTCCATCCCTTTTCACAACCCATCTTTATGTCTTTCGCAGTTACGGCAACATCCGAAAACCGTATCAGAAGTACACCGGAGATGACTGGGTTCACACAGACCACTAAACTCAGGGGATCAAACCTCAATGGCCTTTTTTGCAGAGATGAACTCACATTCTGGTTTATCATGATGGTTTGTTCCCCCCCCCCAAAGGGAAGGGCTGGACCCTCCCCAGCTCCTTGGACACCTATGTCCTGACCTCATTTCAGCCTAGACAAGCTTGGTGTGGGAATGCCGCCATCCGGTAGTCGGGGAGTCACGCTGAACTGCTCAGGGGGGTGTCCAAAAGCACGACTGTCTCTGACCAAACTAATTTCAATTCTCTAAACTCTTTAACTGGGTTTCTGTGTGTTGCTAACCCAGTTTTTCTGGGAAGAAAGAAGTCAACGGTCCTTTGAAATACACGTGCGTACGCACTCGCGCAGAGACCCCCAGAGAACGTGCCAACAGAGTTCATAATGTGGTTGGCAGAATCTTGGCTCAGATTATTATTTATTATTTATTTACTGAGGTGAATTCATGCCTTATGCCCACTCCCCAACGGGCTTGCCAGATTTCCCCTTCTCCGGCGATCTCGGGCATTACTTTGCTTACTTAAAAGCCCTTTCTGCACTGAAGGTGGCTGAGGGGGTGCTCCATCCAGCCCTGAAAATTCAGCCCTGGAATCGCCCATACGGGGCCAGGGAGGAGGGAGCCCCCGCTGGCTGGCTGGCCTCCCTCGCAGGGCTGTTGTGCGGATAAAACCCTGCCCGCCTCAGGGACTACACAGCCAAACTTCTGAGCCGGAATAACAAAGGCTGCCATGAGGCAACCGGCTAATTTAGACCCGCGGTTTCACGGCCTTCTGTGCGGCCGGCCGGAGACCCCGCAGAAGAGGCTAGCCTGGGTGGCCCAACCCGGTTCTGCGGTTCCTTCCCGCGGCCGAGAGACGGGGTCTGCGCGGGCCTGGCTTGGGGGGCC